CGATCGGATGGTCTACGTTTTGATAATTTACGATGATGTGAACCATTTTCTACTGCATCGGAATCTTTTGGTGCAGATCTTATATCATCCCAAGCTTTTTTACGACAACGTTTCATAAAAAATTTGATTAATAAACCAATTAAACCAATTAAAATAAGTACACTTGGTATACCAACACCAAGTGCAATGCCCCATTTAGTACCATTTTTCATTTTTGATTCATTAAGTATCTAAGGATTAAATTAAGCAGAAGATAGTACAATAAATCTAAAAATAGAAATCAAACGATGATGAGGTTTACTTCGTATTAATTAAACTTAGCAGATTTGACGGTACAACTAATTAAAATAATATTTACATAATCATATGTTTAAAATAAAAATCTAGGATAGAAAAAAATTTAAAACTAATAGTATCCTATGTGAAGGTTAAAATCTCTTTTTTTTACAAGTGACACTTATACTGTTGAGTTCATTGATTCTTTTGTAATCATTAAATTCTTTCAACAAACAAAAAGCTATTACTCGACTTTTCATGTGGTCATACTAAGTGATTTTATTTATATTTAAATACAAAAAAAAACATACTCACACTCGAAACATAATCAAATTTTTCATAATGACCTAAATATATTTGTACCTGATTCAAAAAATAGATAATATTCCGTCAATATTCTTCTTCATATAATTAATTAGTACAAATTCAATTTTCATAAATGTGTAATTTATTTTCGATTTAAATCAAGAAATATTTGAACATTGAATATCAAACTAAACGAATTCAAAAAGTCGAATACTATTTTAAAAAAACCACTTTTATTTTGTTTTTTGTCGTAGATATGTTAAAGTATTACTTCTATACTTAATCTTGTTATATTCATGTCTATTATCGATGTAAAAATTCGAATATTTCTAATTTTTTGCATATTTTTCCTCTCAAAGAAACTAAATACCTAGCATGATTCATCAAGAATAGCGAACAAGCAATATGATTGGTCAATTGAAAATCATAAGATTTAATATTAATCTCATTTAAATTGTTCAATAAATTGAAAAAATTCTTTTTTTTCTAATAAAACTAATTTTTTTTCAACTGTATTATTTTAAAAAATAAATCATTCCATTATCAAGTCTGTTACTATGTATTATTATGAACAGGTTTATGAATAATGGCGTCAATTTACAAATAAGAAAAGAAGCATTTGCTACCATTATATTACTTGTCTAACTAAGACGTAACTATGAGAAAAAATATTGGCTCTGATGATGATGATGACGATGATTTAAGTCATCCATCACCACTTTTACAAACTCAACGTTTTAGTAAAACAGATAATTTTGGTACAAAAGATTTTCGAGCAACATTTACAAGACCTAAACATACTGATGAATCCAATATGAAATTAAATTTAAAAACCATTCATGATAATGATGATGATAGTTTAAATGATTCGGATGATGATTTAAATACTAAAACAGCTCGAAGTACTTCAAGTGGTACATCGAGTCAATTGACACCTAAGCCAAAAGAACGTTCATTTTTAAAAAAAGATAATGAAAAACCAAAAATAGCACAACGACGAATTGATATTGATGATGATGAACGTAATGTATTTGGACAAACAACAATGAAACCAAGTCCAAGACAACGTATAACAACATTACATGAAGATGAACAAAATGATCAACGATTTGCGCAAGGTTTTGCAAATGAAAAAAAACGACAATCACCAACAGATTTATTTTCAACTGATCAAAAATTTGATTCAAGACGTAATAGCAGAAAATCTTCTAATGATCATATAGATAAAAAACATGATGATAGTGATGATGAAGGTATTATTGTTCCATCAGCAAAACATAATGATTTTCAAAAATCTCGACATACATCAATTAATGATGATAGATCACATTCACGAAAAAATAGTACGAGAAGTAAAGATGGAACAGACAAAAGTGATAATGAAGATACCGATTATCAACATTCAAATAGACAATCTGATCGACAAGATTTTAAAAAACCAAGATCATCAGTTCATGATTTAGCACAGGTAATTTATAAAAAATCATACATATATATTAATTAGACTAAATTTCTATTGTAGACATCACCTAAAGATACTGATTTAAATACAAATCAACATCAATTATCATCAAGTCGACCTAGTTCAGCAAGTAAAAAAGAAGTTGAACCAATACGTCGTTCATCATATTGTGAAGAACAAGATGTTGTTATTCCTCCAGTAACACATCAACAATCGCAATCACGACCATCATCAGCTAAATCAAATACATCACGTCATCAAACTCAATCAGCTATTGATAATATTGCCTCAGCTAATATTCCACCTACACTTGATCCTTTAACATCAAATAATGAAGCACTTGCTGCTACACTTCAACCACCTATACCACCTCCTCGTCCTTCTTCACAATTACCACCTCGACCTAAACCAAACTTAAATTCAACAACAAGTGGTGGTATTAATAAAAAACAACAATTCAAAGTTCCTAATCGTTATAAAGAAATTACTTCACGTGTAGATAATGGTCGTAATCCAAATTCTTCAATTGATTTAACAGCATCGACACAACGTGCCCTTGAAAGAGAACTTAAATCACAAACATTACAAAGACCACAAACTGCTCGTGTACGAACATCATCAGCAAATAATGACAATAGTAAGAATAGTAATGGACGTCAACGACGTCTTTCATCATCAGGTTATGAACATGTTAAACCACGTGTTAATACAAATCTTTCAATAAATTTTGATGAAATTAATACAACTCAAATGCGAGCTGATTCAGCTCAATCAATAAAAGATGGTGTTTATCTTGAATGGTTAAAAACTAAAGAAGAACAAAGAAAACAAGAATTAGAAGCACAAAAACTTTGGGAAGCTGAAAAAGTTAAACAAGTTAATAAAACTGCAATTGAACGTCGAGTTCAACAAAATTTACAAAATCTTGAACGATGGAGACAAGAAAAAGATGAACAAATTAAAATAAAAAAACAAGAAGAAATTCGATTAAAACGTGAACAAGAAGAAAATGCAAAACGAGAAAGAGAACAGAAAAAAAAAGTTAGCATTTATTTACAATTTTCAGGGCTTTCGCAAACCAGGGGGGGGGTAGATGTATAAACATTTAAAACTATATCTGGTATTCTATTTAAATTAACTAGATACTATTAAACATTCATTTCGGTTAAGAGATGAAGTGTCACTTTTATTTTAATAAGCTAAACAACCTTGACAAACCAATGTCATTTTTTTAAAAGACCTATTGCTATTATCGATAACTTATAAATGTATATTCTAGGATGCTAAAGTTGGTTTTGAAGGTTGGGTAGCAGCAAAACAAGATACAGACAAAGAAAAACTAAATGAAAGTATTAATAAGAAAACTGAAATTGAAAAACAACAAGAAGGTACGTTGGTTAAATTGAATTTTTCTTTTTATCGATTATATTTTTTTAGAAAAACAAAAGAAAATTCTCGAAGCTACAAAAGCTTATGAGGAATGGAATGCTAAGAAAGCTCAACATATTAAAAAAAAACAGGAGACACAAAAACTCACTCGAGAAGAACAATTAAAAAAACTTCGTGAAAATGAAGAAACAAAATTTGTTAGTGCACAAGATGCATATGAAAAATGGCTTAAAAATAAAGAACAATCTGAAGTTGATGATCAAATGAATACACAACGACGAAATTCACTTTCTGTTAAACAACAACAGCAAGTACCATTTTTACCAGGTGGTTCTCAAAAAAATACTGGAAAAATTCCACATGTTGTTTGGTAAAACAAAAGAAAGTTCTTATCATATATATATATGTAAGTGTTTGTGTGCGCTGTACGTGATTTTATTAGATGGGACATTAAATAACTAACAGATATATTATATATGAAGTTTTTGTTTTTTTTAAATCAGAAATATATGTCTTAATGCTTAAATGAATTAGTTATTAGTTTTTAAATACTTTCGTTCTATATTTTAATGATGAAAATTAATACTATGATATTTATATAAATATTTGTGTTATATTCTCTGTTTTGTGTACTCAAAAAGTGAGTACACTACTAGAATCGGTCAGTGTGGCCGTCCGGCCGTATTCACGATAACGTTTAAAAGAATAGTCCAACTGAGCTGAAACTTTCTACACAATTCAGTCTCATCAAGATCTCGGTCGAGTTTGAAGATGAGCGTAATTGGCCGGGCTACTGCCGAGTTATTGCAAAAATACTGATATTTTCCTATGATTTCCATATACACTTTTTGCAGTACACATAACTCTCGGATAGAATCTGAAGTTTCCACATTTAGTTAGGAATTAATGAAAACTCGATCTAATCCTTGTTCTCTAGTAACTACAGATCGTTCGTATTCTTTCCTCATCCTAATAATCATTATAAGTTTTCATTTCAATTCATCATTTATTTCACATATAAGTTTTCATAATTATCTAATGTGTTAAACACAAGGAAAATGAACTAAATAATATTCAATTATCATAAAATTACAATTAGAAAAACGTATAATACAAAGAGAATAATAATAATAATAACAATATTTTTCTTATATAATATTTTCGACTAATTCAGCTGCTTGATCTCTTAAATCTTCAGCTTGTTCACAAAGAAGACGCTATGAAAAGAAGAAAAACAAATAAATTAATCAGATATATATTCAATTACTTTTGAATGTTTAACAAGAATTTGTGCTGTTCGTAATGGTAAATTAAGTACAACTTTCATAAGTTCATCAGGTTGAGCTTTTGCTAAACTTCGTAATGTACGATAACCTGCTCGAACTAATTGCAAAGCACGACCCTATTATGATTTATTAATTAATTCAATAGTTCAGAAAACAATATTTTACTCGTTTGATTCCTGGAATTTCCATAAGTGGAAGAATTTCTAATGATGTACAAAATGTTAATCGTTGAACAAAGATTGGTACTTAAAATAAATGAAAATAAATATTGATAAAAAAATTATTACGAAAGATTTTTACATAATTGATGATAAGGCCAAAATTCATCATAAATCTATAGATAAACATACACATAAAAAAGAAAGAAACTTAATGAAAAATTGTTTTTTTGTTCAGCCATACTTTACTAAAATAAAGTATTGATGTAGCAAATGAAGCAACTTGAGAATAAAGACTTTGAATAGTACCACGAGATTGATCCCAAAATTTAGCAACATCATAAAAACTTTTATTTTTAAATAAATCATATAACATCATAGCAACATAAAAACGTAGCATGGTCTCTTTGCTTACTTTCTATTTTACGAAAGAATTATTTATAAAGAAAATTTTATAGTGTATCATTACTTGTTGTGCTGGTAAACCAACAGCTTTTTTATGCAAGAAAGTTTCATCAATTTCTAATAATTTAAGTACAAGTTTTTCTTCATTTTTCATTTCTTGCATCTAAATGAAAATTGATAAAAGAAACAATAACCTCTTCAAAAGGGAAAGTGCGAGCACCCAAAAATAGCCATAGACGCTCAGCTATTCTACTATATCCTCTTATAAAGTAACTAACTCTGATCGATCTTGATTAGAGCCCATTGGGTCCGGGTCTGGATAAAAAGAAATATATTATCAACATAATATTTTTATACTACTCGGTGAACATGAGAATGCCATCTTGGATCTGAAAATTGGTTGATAGGTCTTCAGAAAACTAAATCAAAGACCTCTTTTTTTTGCTCCTCAGTTTTGGTTTTTGGATAGTTAAGACTAAAAAGTTTTCTATAGGTACTGTTCGAGTTCAGATTAGTGCTCGTCGAAATCGGGTCCAACCCGAACCCGAACCGGGCATCGGGTCCGGGTCCAAAAAAACGTGGACTCGATGGGCTCCATCTACCAAGGACCTTGGCAGATCGCTATCTGATATTGATATAATTCAATAAAAATTAATCCATATATCTTTTACTTACTCGATCAACAAGTTGACGAAATCCAATAGTTATATTAGGTAAATCAAATGGCATTGTAATATAAAGTAAATGTAATGGATTTTCCAAATTCATATTAATTAAACTTAATGTTAAATGATTATGAAGTGAAGTAGCGATACTTAATTCAACACTACCTATATAAGAGAAAAACAAAAGTAAGAAAATAAGTGAAATACTTTAATATTAACCTTCAACAGTTGCTTTGCCTAATTTTGTTGTTTCATAAATAAGTCTTTTTACTTTTTCATTATCACTCTCATTACTTTGTTGTTGTTGCTCTTCTTCTTTAATAAGAATAATATTTGTATCTATAAGATATTGTAAACTTTCATCAAGAAGATTTTCAAGATTAACATTAAGACGATCAGCTTGTAAAGCAAGAAGAGTTTTTTGTAATAAATTCATTAATGATTCATAAGTCGTACACATCTAAATTATTCATCTTATAATTTAATTAAAAAAATTCATCGAGATTACTTTTAAACTAATTGCACTTAATAAAAGTTGTTTAATTGCATAATTATTATTTAAAGATAAATGACTATCACAACCAGTATCATTTTCAGCTATAGTAAATAACATATCTTGAAGCTAAAAAAAACAAAGTTTTAAGAATATACAAAAAAAAAGAAAAGATTTACTGGTTTCATATCTCTTTCATGAGCTATAACATAACATTCACCAATTTGAGATTGACCTGTTCGACCAGCACGACCTATCAGTTTCAATTAGATCATTATATTTGACTTATATAAATATATTTCTTTTTTTTCTATACCACTCATTTGTTTATATTGTGCAAAAGTTAAAAATTGATTAGCAACATAAGGTGATCGAAGAATAACTCTAAAAGATTGAGAGTATGAAAATAGATAAATTATTTAAAAAAACATAACTACCGTTTTGCTGGTAAATTAACACCAGTTGAAAGAGTTGATGTACATGTTAAACATGTTAAAATACCATCAAGAAATGCTTCTTCAATTAATTGACGTTCTAAAATAATACAACGAAGATTTAATTTGTGATCAAATCATAAGATTAACTTATATTTACCATCGCCTGTTAAACCACTATGATGATAGGCAACACCAAATGGAATTGTTGTTTTTAATGTATCACATAGATCACCTTCATTAACTTCAACTAATGATTCAAGTAAAATAGCACGTTTTTCACGATTATCTTCAAGTAATTTTCTATAATTGATATTTAGAAAGAAAATGACGAAATTTTATCGCGGTAGTAAAACTTACTCAGGCATAAAACTAACAATTAAACGAGCAACATTTTCACAATTTAGTTTCGATGCACAAAAAACAAGACATGAATCAGTAGGAATAACTTCAGAAACTGAAACATATATAATAATTTCAATGAAAAAAACAAAGAAAGAATTTTGTATATATCATACCTAAACCAACAATTCGATCAGGATCATTTAATAACTGTTGTTTTGTATACTTAAATATGAATATAAACATTATCTTTGAAAAATAAAATCATTTCTATAACATACTTTAAAATCTAGTTGTCTATGTTCAATTAATTGATTACTATTTCGGTCGATTTTATATACAAAATCATTTATTTTAACGTATTCTTCAAGTTCAACCTAGATTTTATAATACAAAATTCGAAAAATAGACTGATTATTAGTATTTACTGGTCGAAAACGTTCTTCATAAAATTGTGCATCTAGAAATTTAAGTAGATCACCAATATTAGCTAATGTAGCAGACATGCCAACAATTTGTGGTTGAGCTAAATAAATAGAAAGAAAATAAGATCTGCAAATAATCTTATTTATAACTTACGTTTATGCATTCGTACTTTAGTAAGAAGACATTCGAGTGTAGCTCCTCGTTGCCCTTCACCAATCATATGTAACTATGAAAATAAATACAAAAATGAATATGAAAGTAATATTAAAAGATTATACCTCATCAACAACTACAATGCCTAATTCACTCATACGATTTTTTTCAATTAAACTATTAATTAATGAATTCGCTTTTTCAATTGTGCACACATAAAGTGATCGTTTTATACGACGTTTTAATGGTGGATATCGTCCTTTACTTGATGCATATTCTTCCAAATGAAAACCTATTAGAAATATAATATATGTTGAGAAATATGTATTCGTTTTATTTACCAAGTTCATCAGCAAATGGTTGTAGACTTCGTACCTAGGATAAGACAAAATATATTGAATATATAATGATAGGAAAGAATTATACTTTTTCTTGAACAACGGCAACAAATGGTAAAATAAAAATAGCATCAAGATTTCGATGAAATAAACAATTAAGCATCATAATTTCAGCAACTAAAGTCTAGATAAAAAAAGAATATATATATGTATTGTAAGAGAATAAAAATAAATTATTCGGACAAACTTTGCCACCACTGGTTGGAAGTGTATAGATAAGATTTTGATTTTTTCGACGAGCTGGTAAATCAAGACATTTTTTTTGCCAATCTATAATAGAAAAAAACAATGATTTATCAATAAAAATTGATTTTTTTACTATGTAATGCACGAATATTTCGATATTTTTCAAGAAGATCAGCAACTCGATCAAGTAAAGTTGGAAATTGTGATCGTGGTTCCCATTCTTCACACTAAAATAATTATAAGTAGAAAAACAGAAAGTCTATTTTCGTTTTATCATCTTACAAGCATTTGAAGAGCTGATTCATCCAGCATATTAATTTCATCATATTCATCAATCATTGATTTATTAGTTACATCAGTTAAACACACTTTTTTTATTATTGAATTTTCCGGTGGATCGATTGTTGATGTACGTTTACGATTTGATC